GACACATCATCACACACGTCTTGAACATCGGCGATGATCTTGCTTTTACAGTCAATCCTATTGAGAAAGAAACAGATATGTTTAAGCTTGTCAAGTAAAAGAAGATACTTTTCCTTTGTTAAATGGAGTTTCAAATGAATGATTAAAGCTCATAATTGTTATGGCTTTTACTGGATGGCTGTGTATATGGCCAGAAATGGAGATACATCTCCTTTTATTCTATTATTCACAAACTCATTACGTTGACTAGAGTATTTCATCATCATAATCGTCATCATCAGTTCTTCCTATTTAGTAAAAATTTATGGCCCACGACTAAAATAACTGCCTATCCAACTTCAAAGAGTCTACGACTATCCCGGGATTCCTTTTGAGTGAAACAAGGGTCAAAGTTTCGGAAACACAGCTAATGGTGGTAGTACTTCCTGTTTGAAATGGAATAGTTGAAATCCTCAGAGAGGTGTGTGTGGAGCCCTGGCAATGAACAGCTATAGTCAGAAAGGCCTCAACATGTCTGAGTCTGATGAAGTTATCTGAGGAATGAGGGCTGACTTTGAGTAGAGGATGTTGGAGCAGTGGCTGTTAAAAAAAAGAGGTAATTTTTATGTTCAGATTAATAGTTTTTCGGGTGGACTCTGGTGAGACTGCGTCACTGTTAGTCAGGAGTTGGTTGTGGTGGTGATACCTGAAGGTTGTCTCTGGGGACAGCGTGTCCCAACATGCTGAGATGATGGGATAAAAAACATGTACTGCCGCAGCAGTAGATATAATATCTGGCTGTGTATGACTCACACCCTGAAGCTGCTTTATTTCTCTGGGGCCTTGAAACCTTGGTTTGCCAAAGTCATTCTCAAGCAAAATCATACGGACATAAATCAGCAGTGATGTCGCCCACGTCTGAGTAAACACTGGAACTATTCATGAGTTAGCACTGCAACAGTTTTACTCATCCACTCATGTTGGGAGTTGAAGGCAAGGCACACTGTGTCTTCAGAAGTGCACTTTTCCCATTTATACAAGCTGTGTTCAGACCCTGGAATGACTTCTGAAGCCATGATCTTGACATTTACAGTGGGGATGTCTTCCCATTAGTCACCGATGCTGTGGGGTTATTACAAAGTGTGAACACTATTATTTCATGGTGACTAAGTGATTGGCAACAGAGCTATTGTGGGTGGGTTACAGATATAGTGTGTGAATATATCATTTTAATTGATGTTATTTTCTTCAATGTCACATGTAATTATCATTAATTATATTGTGTGAAACATTAAGAAAATCAGTTGTTTCTTTCAAATTCTCTGAAAGAGATCTGCTTGCTTCTCACGTAATGAGAGTGCTCATGTATAGCTGTGGGAAATTAGTCAACGTCTGTAAATTACGACCTGAGGCCATTTTAAACTTGCAATTGAATAATGAACTTTGAACAATGCATGGAAAATTGTGCCATTGTTCATTAATCTTATTGTCTGTTTTAGTGAAAGTCTGTACAGTGACATTGTAAATCTAGTAGTTTCGTAGAGTCTTAAATCCCTATAGAGTGCCTTTTTCCCGGGGTGAAGCTGTGGGCTTAATCAGTTTCCTACCGTCTGTGTATATGTCTATTATGTAGGGATCATGACTTTTGGACTCAGGATCCCAAGACTAGATAACTGAGGAACCACCAAGCTAGGAGACAAGAAGCAACATCCATTCATTTTAGTCATTTGTTGATTGAATACCAAAATCAAACCTACGCTCTGGCTACGGCGCTGCAGAAATATTTGTGATGAATCAATTTACAGTCAATGACTTCCCACACAGCAGACAGAATTGGTGTTGAAACAGATCAAGACATTTGTGATAAGTCAAAGCAACCTGTACCACTCAGATACAGGACCATTGTGGGACCTTATCAGCTCCTGGATGACGATGAGGAAACCAGTCTGGTGGAAGAGATGGTTGTCTCCTGTAGCCAAAACATCTGAAACCTTTGGGTTAGAAGTAAAAGAATTAACTGAGGAGAAAGAAGCACAGCACTTTTCTTATTTTCAAAATGTTCCTAATCTTTATAATTTACAATGATTTAATGCGAATACATGTGGATTTGATACAGTATATTAGTCCTGGTTGTTTAGATTTGATCTTAACATTATAATGTGATGTCTTGGCCACTACCTTTTGAATACCTGATTAATTATTAAGTAGGTCTAAATTTGAATTAATCATTAAGGTTAATAATTAGAACTAAATCATTACTTCTAATGTTACGTAACATTTTCCATAGAAAAAAAAAGGTAATGAGTGGCTTCAGGGTTCTTGTGTAACACTGATTGTAATAGTCCATCAAGTGTGTTTGTCAGACATGACACAAACACAAAACGTCCTTCTTAGAATTGATGAATAACAAATTCCAGCTTCATTTAACCAAGCACACGTGCTACAGATTTAAAAAGGAATGTAAATTGTTAAACTGTTTACCAAGATGCAGCTTTAAACCGTCTTTTAATTGACTGCTTTGTTTATTTCTGTTGTAGTAAAAACAAAGGGCTTCACATGGACTCATCACAGAATATAAATACAAAAGCTAGACGGGATGATGGTGTTTTCCATTTGAATGGTATTTCGATCAGATCGGTTTTTCTTCTTTAATAGTAGGTTTCTGTTACATGTGTACACAAGATGTCAACATATTTCTGCACGCTAAATACACAAAGTGACATAAATGTGTACTTTATTCACTGGGCTAGAGCTTAAGTGGCACTAAAATGAAAACATCACTCTATTTTACATAAATGACACTTCGTAATGTTATTTTATAATTACATTATCACATACAGCTGCCTTCGAAAACGAGTTTTCATGCTTCAGTGAAGTTTCCCACAACCATCACTTTGCATTACCTACTGTATGGGTTGTATAGTATCTCAGAAAGTTTAGCTTAAATTAAAATCAATTCTTTATTTTGCCCTTAAACCGCAGTCCCTGGGCTCTTGTTTGTGCAATTCCTTGGGTTGTTAAGCAGACTTAACAGGCAGCTTTCAGCCCTGGTACTTTTCCTCTCTTCTGTGTTCAATGTGGGTATTTGGGATATAAAAGGACTTGCCCGCTTTGCCAGCTTCAGCCCATAAAAGGACAAGAGAACATGAAAGTGTTTATCGTTCCCCTCTAGCGTGTCACATTGGTGGCTGCAAAAGCGATGGAGGGGGTCCTTAATAAATACACATGCATGCATTCCTCACCCCCTGCAAGGTGAGGGCCACATAAACAGAAATGTGTCCAGTGGACTGTTTGTTCCACCGGGCGGACACCTGCATAATCCGCAGGACATTTGGCTGTAAACGTTATGAAAAACAGACAATTTCACCTCCAGATTACACAAACACCTACTACAACATGCACAGGCCTGCCTCCTGCTGCTGCTGCATGCCAGATTAATATGCTGTACACAGACTGGTGACCCCTCCACTCCCAATCCCGGCCCACCATCTCTGAAGCACATTCTCTGAGAAACAAATTCCTCACAAAGAAACATAACAGTGCAACGATGGCTGAGGGGGCCCCTCTGGTTACAGCAGAGTGGGAGGAGGCGCGGAATGAAAGAGGACAGAGTATGGAGCAGTGAAAGAAGGAGGGAGAGGCACAGAACAGAGAAAGAGGGGGTGTCAAAAAGGAGGAGCTGGTGGAGAGAGTCCGAAGGAGACCGTTAAAAACAGAAAGAAGTGAAGAGTGAGCACATGTGAGAGCAGACGGAGCAGGAACAAGAGAGAAAAACCACCAAGATCCAACAGGTAGAGTAAACAACAATTCAGCAGCATTTTTAAGTGCCCATTCACTGTCACACTCTGATGTGTGACAGTGAAAGGAATTCTCTGATTTATTCAGAGGCCTGTCTATTTGATTTGATTTGTTACAGTTATGTTAGCTGAAAGTTCCCACACAGCTTGTTTCACTTGCTGCCAGGAAGTGGTTGGAAGTGCTGACTGGGTCATGTCAGTGGTTGTATTTCATCCTATTCCAGGGCTCAATATTTATTTATCTAAAATTGATTTCAAGATGGAACCAGAGACATTGCTAATGTTACAATATACACAAACATAGGTTCTTGTTTAAAATGTGTCCAAGTGACTTGAATTTGGAAGAAAGATAAAACGTTGTCTCGCCCTTATTGGCAATTTTTGTTTTGTTTGTTTTTTGTAATTTATTAAAGAGACTAAAAAGATCATTTACAAAAGAACATTAAGTGAGGGATAGGAGAGAGGCAGCATCAACCTAAAAATCAAAAAATGACCAAAATTTAATATGATCTAAACGTCTTTTTTGTTAGAGACTTGCAGCTAACCAAATCATTTGCCTGTGGTGAAGAACCCATGGCTTGACATGTCTGTCACAAGCTATTCTCATCATTTGTCATATCTATTAACAGGAATGATGTCACTGTGCACAACCATTGTTGGGCTTCTTCTTTTTCTGATCGTCTCACCACTCCTCCACTCTCAACTCTACATCCATGCTGCTTCAACCTCCTCTCCCATCACTCGACACCGAATCATTTTCATGACTAGCTTGGACTCTGATGACGACTACGGTGATGATTACCGGGATGAGGACAAACCAACTACTGACATAGTGTCCGCTAAGAGGATAACTGTTGTCCACACTCAGCCATGCAAGTATAACCCCTGCTTGGAGAACCAGGAGCCCTGCAACAAGCTGGCACAACAGACTGGATGTCTCTGCCCTGGGTTCAGTGGAGCTGATGTGCCTCCTCTTCCTCCACGCCTTCAAACACTTCTGCCAGTTAGTCATGGAGAGAATAGAGGAAAAATAGAGGTGAAATGGTGCGCTCCACCTTCTTTTGTGTCCCACTACAGAGTGACGATGGAGGGGAATAATGGTGATGCCTTGCAGTTCAAAAGTGCACTTCGACAGGGTTTTATAGGATCTTTGGAAGTTGGGACCAGGGTGTGTGTGGAGGCTGTGAACGGTGCAGGAAACAGCGCCTTTTCGGAAGTTTCCTGTCAGCGTTATGATCCACCAAATTCTTCTGAGCATAATTTGCTGGGTTGGATATTAGGTGGTGGTGTGGTACTTCTTCTCCTTATAGTTGTGACATCAGTCATCCTGTGGAAGAAAAAAGGGTGCGGCAGGGCAAAGAGAGACTCCACTGACGGACTTGGGAACCCATCTTATAGCACAGAAGGAACTCTGTAATCCACACATGCAGTAAGGACTACAGTCCTTCCGGTTTTCACTGACCACAACTGTATAGTTATGGGATGGTGAAATGATTCATTATAGAATCATAATAAAAAAAAGTTTACTCTCCTGTTTGAGGAAGAGATGTGTAAATATCACTGTAGGTTCTTAAGTGGTACAACAATAATGGCAAAAGTGTACTTTTTGTACTGTAACGAAGGGTTTTTTTGCTGGCAAATTAACCTCTGTAGGTTTGATGTAGAAATTTTTTGTAATACTTTTAGGATACAATGTTGCTACTAAATGAAACATGTTGTGTAAAACTAAATATTATTTTAATAAAAAAATCTTAAATCTTACAAAATTCTTCATTTTCAAGATTTAAGTAGTAATCTTTTGGTTAAGTGAAATCACAAAACCTACACATTATTCTGCATGTATTAATTGGGGATGAATTTGAAAAAAAGGTCTCATTTTAATTTCCGCTAAAGTAAGTCGAGAACGTGTATGAATACTTGGTATGTATGGAAGCATTGTTGTCCTTCACAGCAGAAACATACAGTATAACTTTCATTCTTCGTTTTTCGATCTTCCTGACATTTATTTTGAAAATCGCACAAACTCCGGAAGCTCATTCCCCTTTTAAGTGAGGAAGTGAATTGCCCCTATTGCAGCAGGATGGCGAACGCAGGTTAGTTCTTTTCTCTCTCTTCTCCTTCCCTAAGTTAGACATTTTATAAACGTTCTACTGTCTAACATACTAATGTCTGTTTAGTTAAATATTCTGTAAATATAACACAAGTCGAGAGCCTTAATAAAATTGTCTGTAAAAGTTAAGTCACACTTTATTATGCTTAACAATGACGATAATAGTGTGTTGTCAGGCTGATTTTAATATGCAGCCGTAACGTCTACGAATTGGTAACAATCACACCGGAAATATATTATTTCATTTTAAAACAATCCTAAGCACCTTCTCGACAACACGCACTATTAATACAACATTCACGGTGACTCGGCAGGTAACAAGAGGCTCCTCCTCCTCCCTCTTTAAGAAAGAAACTGGTTTCTAGGGCATCAGACAACGAACAGCATCTTAATCGAATTGGACGAGGTGTTGTGCCTGTTGTTGCACGTTCGCATTTATTATACATAATCCCTAATGTAACTTATAACATATGTGAAGGAAACATGAGAGTAAGATAGAGCCAGTTAAAAATAAATTAAATCAACAATGTATGTGAACTACATTGAACAATATGTCGAACAAATGCATTTTTTATCTTTACCTTCTAAGAATATACTATACTAAATGGTAACTGGTTAAAATTTTAGTAACAGGGAAATTCTCTCTCTTTTAGTGCTTAAACATTGTGTAGTAGGACTGCGTCTGTTCAGAAGGCAAACATGCGTGGTGGACGTGGCTTCATTCGTGCATACTGGACTAGCCGGTAAACAGTGAAGGCATGAATGTAAAATACTCTGTCAATGCATTATGTGTAGTTTGTCTGCAGATATTCATGTTGTTCTAAAATGAAGAAGAGCTGGCAACGCTCTGATAACATCTATAGCTGTCAGTGATGACACTTGCTGCTTTTGTTGCATGTAAACCTACTTCCCTGGCTTTAAACCTCACGTATTAATTGCAAAGGCACCAGACTTTCTGTGCTTTAATTGACTTGTTTTTATATTGATATGCTCTACAATTTCTTGTTTAAATTATTGTTTCAGCTGTGCAAGACATATTTTTACTATATGTATGCAATTTTATAAATAAAAAGTAAAGTAAAAGTAAATAATAACAACAAGAAATTGTTTTTTTCATTTTTTCATTAAAACTGCTTTGAGATTATTTTTTATTTGTCCACTTTGACTCATAAATAGCTTTCTTTTTGTGTGTGTATATATGTGTGTATATATATATTTAATATATATGTATGAAAAGCCCTCATATATATTTAATATATATGTATGAAAATTACAAGCCCTTTAAATTTATAATTCACCTAGACTTTTCAAAAGTTTTTGCATTAAAATCACATTCTTTTTCTATGTACTAAATTACCTAATAAGAACTAGATGTTCATAAACGTCACACTTAGCCTAACCTTATGGTTCACGTGGATGTTTTCTTGTGTTTCTTGTGTCAAAGTTGCACAACAGTTTTGGCGTATGTATTAACAATCACACACAAAGAGAAGATCATTGTTTATTCCTCTGTCGCCATCTTGTCAGTATTGTTATTTAAACAAAATAAATGTGGTTGTTTTTAGACAATCTAACAATAATGTCTTACTCCTAATCACCAGGGAACAAAGAAATCTCCTACAAGGATCTGAAAGCACTTCTGGAAAAGAGCAAGAATCTTGTCTTGGTTGATGTTCGGAGCCAAGAAGAAGTGGCCAAAGGATCCATTCCCGGATTCATTCATATCCCGGGTGAGCTTCTTTTACAATGAATATGCTTTTATAAGTTTTATTGTATTGTTTCTTTCAAAATGGTAAAATGTATTTTTTATTTCAATACAAACACTTCAACACAGTCAGACCCAATGTCTCTGGGTGAATTGTTGTTTATCCTTCACATAACAAAGTTTAAGTGTTTGATAAGCATCAGTGCACTCCAGTTATTTTTTACTAGTTGTTAATGTTTTGTTTGCAACATCTGTTTATTCTTCTTAAAATGTTTCTTCATTCCTATCTTTAATTCTTGTAGTCGCTACAGTCCAGGATGCTTTTAAAATGCAGCCAGAAGAATTCAAAGCCAAGTACGGAGTAACAAAACCATCATTAGACGCTCCAGAACTAGTGTTTTTCTGCCAAATGGGTAAACGAGGAGGAATGGCCACAGGCAAAGCCCATGACCTGGGATACATGAAGTAAATATATTCTTTAGTACTTTACAAGTACTTTATTACAAGTCTTTGATTATTGTCAAAAGTATTTGACATGTCTTCTACGCCTCTGTGTGTTTCAGTGCTCGTAATTATAGTGGAGGATACCAAGAATGGTCTGAGAAGGAAGGAAAATAATATCAGTTTACAGAAAGACCCATATACATTTATGTATAAATAATATATTTATTTATACAAGTGGTGTGGCAGCTGTATATGTTGGTATTGTATGTGGTGTTTTTCAGTCCATCACTACAATTAATACAAATAAAGTTGTGCTATTTAATCGATACTTGTTTTTATTTGTGTGTCATGGGAGGCACAGCTGGTTTATACATGTCAACCATCATGTCCACAAATGGGAAAAAATGAGTCATGCATAAATCCGTCTAAATATTGTGAAACCTGAACAAATTTACTGTGAATTGTTAAGAGATATTCAGTACACAAGTGCATAACAAGCTATTTAACAATATATAGATTAATTTGAGTCTAGGCAAACTAAAGCATCAGAGTAATTGTTGGTTTCTATGTAAAAACTAAAAGATTTTAGTAAATGTTTGTCATTTACTATAGAGTTTACTATAGAATTTTAGATAGAACTTAGTAAAAGAAATTTCTGATGGTTCCCTGGTTTTATAAGCCCATAAAGACATTGAAAAATTATAAGGTAATCATTTATCAAAACTAATTGCATTAATGCATAATTATGTTTCATTAAATAATAATAATTACACAGATTACCTATTTTGTATTTTTTTTTAGAAAATGTAAATGTGTTGTTTTTAGACACTTTCTTAGTTTGCTGCAATTGAATATACAGTAATGTGAAACTTGAAAAACTGTGATAATTATTTTGTAAATATTTTTCATTAAATTGTAATGTGTCGATGATTTGCAATAATTACATTATTTAAAAATTACCCGTGTTCACTAACTTACGTGAATGCATCAGTAGTCACGTAAAGACGCGCTATAACGATATCTTTTTTTAATGGCTGCGTGAAACACTTTTGAACTATAATATTAGGATAAAATGGTCACTGAAATAAAACAGGTAAGGAATGGAAGTTGTGTTAGTATTTAACGCATTTTTGTTTTAAATCGCCCAACACATGCAAACAAATAAAGGTTTTATCTTGAGGTTTAAAGCTAACTTAGCATGAAAATAGCAACGTTAGCTTTGTCGTCGTCGTCGACTGTTTATTGTCACAGGTGCTGCGGCTGCTTATGCTCATGGCGAAGCAGAGACAGCAGCGGGTTGCAAAGACAGAAGCAGGAGGGGGAGGACTCCTGGTTCTTCTGTGGTCTGCGGAAAAAAATATCCCTCAGGGTTTGAACTGCACTGGTGAGTCTGAATTAATCACTACGCTCCCATTTGAGAAGTGACCCCAAGCTAGCAAATGAAGTATAATTCACCGCACTGTGCTTTAATTAAAATACCCTGAAACAATTCTGGTCATTGTTACTGTTGTTAGAACAAACAGTTGGAGTAAACTTAATTCTTTCTACCATCTTCAATGAATAGCTTGCTGAAAAGAATGCGATATATTACTATTTCAGAACTTAGTCACAGTTAGTGTGGTGGTGTAATTTTGTAAAATGTACAGTGAATTTTCTGACTAAAGTTAATTACCTATTTCTTAAGGTGCCCAAAAATGCAACCATCACCCCTAAAATAAATACGACAAAAACATCTTTTGCAAACCCACAGAAAATCATTTGAAATAAAAAATATACAAAGGTATTTAAATGTTTAATCAAACACTGGTGCTGGGTTTGAATTTGAGTTCATATCAGCATTTTATAGTTTGTCTAAGGTGATCACCATTGTTTTGCGTCTGTCACATTAGGATTCTCACAGCAGCTCTAGTCTGTTCTCTTCAACAGCTGAGCCATTTTTTTTCAATGAGTTCTGCTACAATAAATATGTATGACCTCACTTTTAGGAATCAGTATAAATATTTGCTCTAAGATGAGTAGTTGTTTTTCTCTTCTGTTTGTTTTTTGATATCGGAGGTGGTTTGATGACATCTGTATCAGAAATATGTATTAATTCTCAGCCTGCGAAATGTTGAAGTTAAAAACTATTGGTGGAAAACTCAAACGTTCACTAATTATAACAACATTTCTATTTATACACAGTGGCAGCTGCGGGTTCCTGGTGTAGAGGGATTCAAATGCGTCAATTCCAGAGTGGTATGCACACACATCTGTCACTTACACACATCTGTGGTGTGTGTGTACAACATGACCTCTTTTTACTGGACTAGCCTTCACAGATTTGAAGGACCGTGTATTTCCCCTTGCGTTCCTGTGTCCTGATCCTGACCCCGAGGAGCTGTTTGCGTTCACTGAGTTATATGGGTCCCTCAGAGTACTGTTGTCATTTCAGGTACTTAGAGCGGTCATCACATTCACTTCAACAAGTTATAATGTTTGGAATAATATCTTTACTGTTACTGACACACTCCATGTTGCATTAGTAATTGGATAAAAATTGATCTAAATGTCACTTTATCTTGCTTTTTCTGCTTTCAGATGAGAAACATAAGGCATTTTAGCCCAGAGTGTCAAACTCACATAGAGACACTTCTTAAAATATTCAGTTTGGTTAATGCAGGGGTATGAAAGTTTGTATTTTTCTTTCCACAAATGCTTCAAATGTGTATTATTAAATATTATTATTTATTTATTTTATTATTTCTTTACAGATTGAAATCTACCTTACATCCAAACTTAACCAGGAGACCGCCCATTCAGAATTCAGGTACAAATCATAATATATTTCTGTGTTGCCAAGTACATTTATATACAAGGAATTTAACCTGTTATATTGATGCAATCTAATAGAATTATATTAGAAAATATAAATTTATAAAAAAAATACATAAATTGCAGGACCAGTGGATAGGACACTACTGGACAATACTTTTCAATCTATATGTATTTATAAATGGCTAACATTAATGTTTAACTGGATTGTATGCTGGAAAGTGTCTGTTGTTGTTGTTCTGTGGAGTCTGAGTTGAAATCCTGCTGGATTTGCTGAATGCAAGATTCCAGAAAACAATGATAACTCTTTTTACTTATTATCTTATCCCTGAATTTCAAAATGTGAATTTGTGTCATGTGTAAAGTTAAAAAATACCACAGTACAAAATGTCGATACAAAATAAGTGAAAGCACATTTTTTTACAGTAGGTTAGATTTTACAAGTGCCTCGTAAATTTTTCGGCTTTAGGACTTGTTGCTGTCTTGGGTTCGGGAAATTGGCTGGTGGGAATAGTTTAATGATGTACAAATGTTTTGTTTACATTCATACAGAGCGAAGAACAAAAGTAAAGTAGAAAACTCGGGCAGAATTTCACTGATTTTGGATGTCACCAGCAATACACAGTCTGTGCATTTGTTTGTGTGTTTCTTGGAAAGCAATATCCTTTTACAAAACACATTTTTCTGTCTATGCTTAAACATGTCAAATGCATTGCTCTGTATTGACATTTTGTGCAGAACACCAATCCCTTTCCTTGTTTTCAAAGGGCTCCAAAGTGGGTGAAAAAAGAGTGCTGGTGTCAGGGAGGACACCCTGTCCTCGGAGACCCATTGTCACTCAGTATTCCACCACAAGTCATGGATGGGGGCCTGTACGGGGAGCTCAGCATTCAGCCTGTGACACTTCTCAGTCCCTGTATGCTGCAGTACCCTAATGTGGCAACCCAGCTCACTCACATACAAATATCCTTTTTCTAACCTCACAACCTGAACAACTCTTATACTTTAACCAGAACCTATAGGTACAGTTGTAGACAGTGGGTCTGGATTGTGTCTCTGTGTTTCCCCTGTTGATGTCTCAACACGACTGTCGGCATCAGTCTGGACTCTCTGAGTCTCAGTGTGAAAGCCATGATAAAAGCCAGCTGCTGTAAGTCTTGGACCTTGGTTCTGTGCTGAAAAGCTGTTGGTCTAACTGCTGATGTAGTTCAGTAGATGTGTTATATATTGAAAAGAACGAAGAAAGAAAAAGACAGAGGTATTTAAAAACAAACTGTTCATTTTCACATAGTCTCTCCAGGGAGACGTCAGGCTTTTTAGATGGAAAGTACCAGAAACTGTTGTATAACCCAGGAAATGTGAGTTGCAAGGATAAGCATTAGATTCCTAATTAAATTGCCTGGAAAGTAGAAAAAAAAGAGATACTTGGAGAAAATATTGTACTTCTTTGCTGTGATAAATACAGAAGTGGGAATTTGAAATCTTAAGTCTAACTTTGGTTTTTAAATATAAACAAATGCAGAAACTGACAGCTGCACCACATACAAATTGAGAAAGAGACAAAAAGAAACTGAAATAGATAGGACAAAGGCCAAGATAAACTTTATTCAAACGAGTTGGTCCTCATGCAGGATCTGAATAGAAGAGATTGTACTGGAATTCTAGAGACATAAGTTTCTTTCAAGATTTTTAATTGTTGTTTTCTAGACAGGTGTGTTGCTTTTACTGGCCTGTCTGTAGTCCAGATCAGTCTTCTGTTGAAATTGTCTTGGACCTAAAAAAAAAGACACCAGTGACCCGTTTTAATATAAGTAAAGGTTTTCATACTATACAGATGGCTAAATTTCCACTAATGTAACCGCAACAGTTATGTTGTTGCAATAAAATGTAATAACTGCAAAACATGTACCAGTAGAGAGAGCTTTTAAATAGGCATTGTTGGAGTTTCCATGTGCAATGTAGAGATTGTACCATCTAATGTGGGAAAGGATAATCGTATTTTGCCAACTTATCAACATTCCTAGCTTCACCTAGGGTCATAATTATCAGGTAATGACTAAAATACATGAGAACTTGTCACAACAAGAAGCCCTGGGGATGCTTGGTTTCACCAATTGGGAGGAGGCTGAAAAGCTCACACATGTGACAGGAAATCAGCGGTGCAACAACTGTTGCTTAATGTTAACTTAAATGAAGCTCGCTGTAGCATCTGGTTGTGATTAGTCCTCCTTGACTTCACGGGCCCAGGTTTTGGTTTACGGGCCCAGTAATGTTCCTGTCACAGGCCCCTCCACCTACCTCAAGAACCTTCCTGCCCATCTGGACTATAAAGATCTGGGTCTGCATAGGCTTCACTGCTCCTCTTTCAAAGGTTGACAAAAACCAATGATGAAAACCACACAACAGACCAGGGACAAAAACCAATGATGAAAACCACACAGACCAGGATGCGTTTTATTTATTTATTTATTTTTAACAAATCATTTTCCCCAGATATGTATAATTTAGGGAGGTTCATATTCCAGGACCTTTAATTATGTTTTGAAAAGCAAACTATACAAAATGCCATGAAATGAAGAAGATCCTTTTCACCACCTGCATCGTATTTAGAAGATGTGCACACATTCTGGCCTGGAGCTGCTTATAAAAATGTTAACAAATCAGAGCCTGTAATTTGAATTGGAGAAATAAAACAAGACCAAACAGAGGAAGTAGAGAGAAAGAATGCACACAGAGAACAACAACAAAAGCATTTAAGTTACAGTTGTTAAGAAAAAGCCTTTTTATTATGTGATTAAAAATTTTAATTCTTTCTGTAGATCTTCTCAATGGCGGTACTATGTATGAAGTTCAGCAAGAAAACGATGACAGAGAGTCAAGTCTTCCCACAATGCACCAGAGTCTACTGCTTCTACTCTTTCTGCAGTACAGTGACCCTTTTACCTCCGAGATGTCTGATGTCATGGGTTAGGAAAACTGCATCGTGTTGACTCACAACACTGCACGGTCATTGACCTCGCTTCATATGTTTCCTACAAAAGCATTTATTACTGTATTTATTCTTCTAAATCAGCCTCAACGTTTACTGTTATGTGTATGGCCCTTTGACAGCTGCAGAAGCACTGATAGAGCACCATCTGGAGGATATTTTGTGCAACAACAGTCAGGCTGTCACAGCAGCTCTGCAGGCTGAACTCGAGAACGCACTGAAGCCTCAAAATCAAAGAAAAAGGGCAAGTCTGGGTTACACACACAAACACACAACTACAATTATTTATGTATAATTTAATTGTGCAAATGTCAGAAAACGTTTTATTTATTTAACACAATTGTGTTTATGTAACAAAGTAGTTTACATTGTTTCTGTTCTTGTGCTCACGTGATGTGTGTGATGTGACAGAAACAGGAGAAGCTGTCTACAGCTTTGGATATAATTGTCAGTTCATCTGTCAATATTGTGAGCCGCAGCAGTAATTTGGACTTCAGGAATGCTTGTCTCAACAGAATAAAGGTGTGTTCATTTTTTAAAATCAAAATATGATTTAAACTATTTAATGGTGTTATCAATGTTAACATTTCATAATTTATAAAATACATGTGATAGTATTTACTAAGATAGTAACTAAAAATAGCAACAACAACAAACAAACAAAAACATTGACCCATGATACACATGTACAGATATACACACAGAACCTATGTGCTCTTTAGGTGCCTGACACTCACCAACTGTCGGCCACCCTCTGTGAAACTCTGAGGAGAGTGACATCATGGAAATTTACTCCCAGGAGCCAGTGCTACTCTGCTCCAGTGAGTGGGATATTAGTTCTCTGACACCAGCTCGTTCCTATAGCAGCATGTTTAGTGCCATTATCAAATACAACTTAATTTCCTTTACAGATAGATGAAAATCCTCAGGGTAATGAGTCTACCAGAGCAGAAATGTGACACCATCTGTATTTGCCTTTAAATAGATTTGTTCTCAGCCTCTGAAAGCAGTTTGCTTATGGAGTGAGTGGCAGTAAACTTTAACCTATCGTTGCAATACATTTTGAGTATGTTGAAGTAAATGAAAAACAATATTTCAGCTTTTTCTGAGTATGTTTATAATACATGCAGTGGTATATTTTGTTATTAAAAAATAATTTAAGTTTCAACTTGTATTAGTTTTCATTGTTAATTCCTCTGACTGCTATGTCTTCTTCCTCTCGTTCTGGTGATTTGATGAGTTGTATTTTCGAAAATTACGTCGGTATTTGGTGTTTTTTAAGTCGACTGATGTGCTAAAAAGTATGTTCCACTTATTGCCGTTGGATGGCAACAGCGGGCTTTGAGGCATTCTTCACTTCCGCTTGTTTATTTTGTCAGCCGTGACGTAGCTTCTGGCCGCCAACGTCGACTTCACTTTTTCGCGGTAAATGAATAGTGTTTCTATGCAGGAGTTGTTTAGAGCCTTGTCATCTTTTAAGGGAGAAGTTTAGAAGTAACTGCTGCATATAGGGGCAACGTAGTTGGAAAAATTGCGTTGTCGTTGTTATGAAACAACGGTAAAGCTTACCATAAGGCCGGCAGACATTTGTTCTAATTGTAAATATAGAAATAAAAAAACAAACAATGGCGACAGTGACCGCAGAGAGTCTGAAGTCAGAGCTGGACGTGTTTGGCATAACGTGCCTGGACGAGTCGGCCCTCGACAAAAGTAAGTACATTTCAGTTGCCGTTCTTGTATAACTAGGTAACTTTGACCATCTTAGCCAGACTGTTTGTCTTCATTTTCAAAATAGTAATTAGTCATAACGCTATCTGTTTACAACCGGAGTCCAGATTTGTTTAGTTGAACACAGAATTGCCGAGCTAAATAATTTATAAAAGGATAGGTAATCAATAACCAACTACACTAAGAGGAAGGTTTATTTGATGAAGATGTCCAGATTTATTAAATGATTAATCTTAACTGCAGCATTCTGGAGCCATTTCGTTTACTTTTATATGGGACAGCAAAAAGAAATTAGTAAATGGATTAATTAAAGTAATTTTTAAATATATAAACGCTGTTTCTATAGCTGTCTTTGCACCAGTTTGCAAACTTATTCCTTACCTAAGAAATAATAATAATAATATTAAATGTTAAATGTTAAATTAAATATTAAATATTCATATTAAATGTTTCACTTGTGGGGAAATTTAAATTCTATTCTAAATTAAAAATATTACACCGTTCAACACTTGTTAAAGATGATGATTAAAAACCTTTGTTAATACTTAATACTTCTTTCATCAGTGGTGGAGCAGTGCATTTGTAGCAGGTTAGGAGCAGACGACATGGTAAATGAGTGGGTCGCCTACAGCAGCACCAGAACTGGAATAAAGCTCAGCGTGGACACATTGGAACAGTTTGAACATGAGGTGACCTGCAGGGTTATGACTGTGTATGTTTGTTTTCCAAAATATTTCTGTCTTGTCTTCTCACATGCTGGTCTCGTATTACTGCAAAATCTGCAGGTGTTGAACAAGAAAAAGTCCAAAACATCGTTTAGAAAAGAAGACACTCTTAACAAAACAAGAGACATCCACTCACTGCAGGAGTTGTATCCTTTGCTCCAAGTTAATGAAAGAACTCTGTGGCACCACCTTCGACTTGTGCTTTCATTTCTTGACAGACCTTAACATAACTGTTTCAGAATTAAGGCTGAAGAAGAGGAGGACAATCTTCTAGACACTTACTCAACCCCAGGAAAGGTATAGTCTCTTTTTCTAAGATTAAAAGATGACAGTTTAGCTTCCTGATTGTTTAAAAAGTAAGGCTGAGTGAAACAGAAATTGTTAATGTTCTTCCTTACTCATTGTACTGTACTGTAACAGTGTTTGTGCTGGAAATGTGTACGCAGGGTTCTCAGAAACGAGCACTGACCACTCCTGAACACCCTCAATCAAAGAGGACCGCAGCTCGGCTGACCAGCCCTGGTCTGCTGCTGTCACCCGCCAACTTCTCTCCCAGGTATTTAGCAGTGCAGCTGATGGAAAATTTAAAAAATCCACACAAATGCATTGTGCAGTCTGGTTTTGACATGGGCGAATTGATGAGTAATGATCACACAATTTAATTCCCTAGTTCCTTATTTAGAATAGAAGCTATTTGTCTGGGAAGAGGTTATGTCATTTATATTAGTAGACAGTAGATTATTATATAGTTTTCTTTCATGTGAACAATCATATTTTGGTTCAACACCCATTGTTGGCCAGGATAAAAGCATTCAAACTTCCATTGTACATAACTTTCCTCATACTTAATGGCTATTTCTAAATACTCATAAATACTTTATGTATATTTTCCCACAATGTGGGGAGTTTATAACCTTCTAAGATGATGTGTGTCCACAGTTTGTTCAGTTGAAGATTTAAGCTTATTTATTTATAAGACCAAATTAATAATTACTTATATTAATTATACTAATATTACTAATTACTCTTTCTGTCTCTGCAGTGTAACTCCCTCACAGAAGTACGGCCAGCGAGGAGGGAAAGGGGAGGTGGTGACCACGTTCGGGGCTGTCCAGGGCACCCGCTGGGTGGGCAAGAGGGCTCCGGGTACCAGCGTCCCACTGGAGCTGCTGGAAGGTTCTGAAGAGACTCTCCAATGCAGCTACAAGTACATGTTCCAGCGGCTGCGAGATGTACGAAATGGTATGTGGTGGAGATTTTTTTCCATGGTGACCTGCTGTACAATTCAGATGATACTCTCAATTATTTTACCCCAAAATGATTTAAAAACAGAAGCAATGATTAAGTTCACTTAAATACTTAAATTATTTAAGAGTATCTTAAACATAAGAGAAGAGAAAGAGATAGATCGATTCCTTTTTTTGTCCAGAATTTTTCTAAATGTGTCCTGTTGAATTTGAAAATGAATTTATGTCCAGCCTTCAATTATTGTTATGATAAAAGGGATAAATGATCTGAGCTCCTAACAGGTACTTGTCTGTTATTCCCAGTGTTGACAGAGAAGATTGAAGAGTTGGGAGAGAGCCTCAAGTCTCACTTTACAATCGAAGAGTTTTCTCCAGTCTCTTTACCAGCACAGGTGTGTACTCCCACTTGTAGTCCACTGTAGAAGATACTAGAACAACAACATGCAATCTCACCTCACATGTTTTTAATCTGTGCTAAAGTTTTCCTTTCTACTGAGTAACTTTTTAAAAAAAAACATGTTTGTTATTTTTTTTCCCCAAGTATGAGCTTTTAACACCAACATTTCTTTATCATGTTCTCCCTGCTTAGTCAGTGCACTGGTAGTAAAGAACTACTTTATTTGTTGACATCCCATGTGGGCCACATGTGGAAGGCTCATGGTTCATTTCTGGCCTGTAGGCTAGGGGTTTGAGACCCCTGATTTAAAGTACATAAGTTAAATCAAGTAAAACTGTTTGTTTTAGTTAAGAGTAAGTATTTCATTGAATGTTTCCCCTGACCTTTCTGTTCTCTTCTCCTATAGGACACTATTACAGTGTTGGGTCAGGTGTGCTGTGACAGTAATGGGAAACTGAACGCTCAGTCCGTTCTGTTAGAGGCAGGACCAGAACAAGGTGGTCAACAAGTACCTGTAGATCTGTCAGAGCTTAAAGAGTACTCTCTGTTTCCTGGTCAGGTATGGCTTGTTTTTGGTGGGGTTTTTTTTATTTATTTTTGGACAGAAATCACACAATGGTGGGTTCTCCTTTGCCTGAGCACTGAGGTTAGTGTGCAGCAGGTTATATCACCACCAAGAACAACAGAGTAAGCCAAGGACCTGGATTAGAGAGTTGTCCAGTGTCTGACCGAGAACTCTGACAAAACAAACTCTTAGAACAAATAATTATTTTTATCTGTTTTCACTGTGTATATGAAATTGTGCTGTTGTTTAAACTTTTGTAACTTGTGTCTCCAGGTTGTGGTGATGGACGGAATGAACACAACAGGACGGAAACTAGTGGCCTCTAAAGTGCTTGAGGTCTGTAAAGAGTCAAGTGTTTTTCAGCCACATTTCCTCAGAACTGCTTTTTTAATAAGGTGATGGTTCCATTTTGTAAATGTTATCTCCATACATCATTGTATTTTAGGGAGTCCCTCTTCCTTTTTACACCCCTGAGATAAAAATGGAAATTGATGAAGGTAAGGAATGGTTCCTAGATGAACAGATGCTTCTTTCTGTTTCTCAGTTGTGCTTAAAAAACAACTTTTATACAATTGTAGAGCCAGTGAATGTACTCGTGGCCTGTGGGCCGTACACTACTTCTGACACCCTGGCTTTTGATCCTCTGCTGGACTTGATCGGTGTCATTAACAGGGATCAACCTGATGTCTGCCTGCTGGTAAAGAAACTATTATTCATATCTGTTTTCAGAGATACAAGGCCTTTTCTTAAGCTCAGTTTTACAAACTTTTTTTTTAGCTTGGCCCATTTGTTGATTCCAAACATGAACAAATTGAGGTAGGCTTCCCAGAGACCCTGATGAGAAAAGAAAATTCTAAAGATCCATGATCACCATTATTTACTCTTGTTAAAATGTGTGAGCATTTTTTTCCAACAGAAAGCTCAGGTGACTGAGACATTTGAGGCTATTTTTTCAAGATGTATTGAAAGCATTGTGGACGGTACAAAAAGGTATGTTCAATAACTGGCTTTAGTTTCATTACTGGCTTCACTGATGATACTTTAGAAGCTGATTTGCAGCTCAATGTTTCCTTCTGTGCAGTGTGGGATGTCGCCTGGTGTTTGTGCCCTCACAGAGAGACATCCACCATCACTTCATCTACCCACAGCCTCCATTCACACTACCAAAATTCAGCAGTGACCAGGCCAAGGTTAGACACATGCAGCCACCACTGTAGGGTTCTATATGGAAACAAAAAAATGTTTGTAACAGATGAGCGACTGTGAATCCATCGTCTCTTAATCATTACTTTCACCATAATACCCCACAGCGGATCACGCTGGTCCCCGACCCCTGCACCCTGCTGATTGATGGTGTGACCCTCGGCCTGACATCTACCGACATTCTGTTTCACATGGGCGCAGAGGAAATCAGTTGGTGAGCATCATGTTATTTTCATATTGTCAGTTCAATGACGGAGCTCAGTTCAGACATTTCAGTGGTTTACCGATACATCTTCAGGTTGGGTTTTAAGTAAATATGCAGTGAACTAGAAGAAAAGTGTTATGTGGGGGGTACAGCTCTGTGGGAAACGGGCTCACGTGCTGTCTGTGTGTGAGGACACCATGCAGGAAAATGTTTACAAATACTTTTATTTTCTTACCAATAACAGGAGAATATTAAACAAAATATATAACTATATTAAAAAGGAAACATAAACTTAAACCTTTCTTTATGGCAAACCTTTTTCTATATGGTAAACACAGCCAACTGGCCAGAAAGTAAGCAGAACTACACCAACAGCTCATTTTACTTGTAAACACTGTCTCCTCTTTTTAAGTTGTATACAAGTTGTCACTAAACTATTTCCATGTTTTACCATATTTAACATGTTTATGAATAAACATCTTAGCCACAAAGTGTAGCCTCCTCAGCACCATTAAACCTTTTTGTGTTTTTCTTTTTTTTTTAACTGCATGCTAAACCCAGTGAGTTCCATAATTTTAACCTTGGATTCCTGCATTAGCTTATTAAAGTATGTTTAAAACCAAGTGCAGAAGTTTTAAAGATGCAAAAATAGCATGTGTTATGAAACATCAAACTTCAGAATCGGTGCTGTCAGGTGTTTATTAACAAATAGAATCCAGTGTCTTTGTTTCCTGCTTAAATTTAATAATTTTTGTGTTGCAGTGGCACTGCATCAGACAGATTTTCTCGCATATTAAAACACATTCTGATCCAGAGAAGGTAAGAACATTGAGGAGAATTCACTTTTATTTATTTTATTTTTATTTTTTGGTTTTAATAACAAACTTCAACATTAACAACCTGTGTTTCTGTGTAAACGCTCAGTTACTACCCACTGTTCCCACCTGCGGAGGAGGTCAACATGGACTATGAGAAATTCCAGCAATTTGGTCAGATGCCCCTCACCCCAGACATACTCATCATTCCCTCAGAGCTGCGGTACTTTGTGAAGGTGTGCCCCTTATTTTTTCTTCAAATTTTTACATGTCCACGTTAACAGATTTTATTATACTTAGTATGTTTGTAAACATTTTTTTTAAACTCATCTCGCTGGTCCTCAGGATGTGGTTGGCTGTGTTTGCGTCAATCCTGGACGCCTCACTAAAGGTCATGTGGGCGGGACCTATGGCAGGCTGCTTATCCAACGCAGCGCTGTGTCAGACAATGGAAAGAGACAGAGCCCCTGTCTGGCTGCTCAGGTGGTGAAAATCTAGGGACTGACATTTTCACTGTTGTCAGAAATAACCAACATTAACTCAGAGCAGTTTGACCGCAGCTGCTTAAACTCCATCTTTCAGACCAAACTATATTTAGGTTGGAAAGGTGAGTTCATTCACTCAACGCCACTGTCTTTGGGTTGGATCACATACATTTAACATTTGTTGTTTTTTTTAAGCATGTGCACTCCTTGTTGCTTTAAGCAAAGAAGTAAAACTGTAAACAACAATCTCCTGCCCACTTTGGTAATAAAAGCAAAACATTCAGTCGTAGAAGTGATCAAACTCATCAGAGTCACTTTGATAAATGATGTTTGTTGGTGAGTCCCGCTCCAGTTGAAAACTCTCCACATTGTCACAAGGCACTGAAAAATAAACAAACTCCTTAACTTCATTAATTAGACGTGGACACATTTACAGCTATTGCTTCAAAAATTCAACTCCATTGAAGGGTCTTGCTATCTACTGTTTTCACATTTTATGGATATATTGTCAGTTTAATAAATAATACGTTACCTTTAGGTGTGTCCTCCAATTTCTGAGTTTCTCTAGAAATATACATAAAATAAATGAAAGAACATGTTAGAAAACAAGTATTGAAGGAATTTCTTTTTGTGCTTTGTTTTTTTATGTCAAATGAAAGATCCCCTCACAACTTCTTTGTTGGTTCTTGAGGTGAAAGCATGTTTTCAATATCATCCTCACTAGACTCAGTGAGGTCCTTGTCTAAAGATCTTGCTTCACTTTCCTCCTTTTCGTAGTCATAACTTCTGACTTCTGCTGCTTCTGAAATGTTCCGCATCGTTCTTGGCCTGAAAAAACATTTTAAAAAGTATTTAGCTTGGACCAGATCAAACACCCCAATTAAATAATTATGTCTTACCTGTCCACTTGTGGTGTGATGATTACATCATCAGAATCGCTTTCCTCCTCTTTTGTTATATCGCTCCTTTTCTCTTCCTCTTCATCATTAGACTCTTCCTCACTTGTTATTTTCTTATCATCTTTATTCTCATCCTCTTTTTTCTGTGAGTGAGAATTAATTTTTCTCTGGTCTCCATGTTCACCCTCTAATTCATCTTCTGCTTCCATCTCGGAGCTTTTTCTGACATACACCCTGTGAATATTTTCCACACATCTCTCCTTGTGTTGTTCATCTTTCTCACTGTCTTCTCCAGGGTTCTTGTCTTCGTCATCACCTTCTTCTGCACTACTTTGTTCATCGCTGCTGTCACTTGTCTGTGTTTCTGTTCTTCCAACTCTACCTTGAATATTCTTACAACGCTCCGAGTCATCCTCTGTGTTATCAGGACTGAGATCCTCTCCATCTTCATCTTCATCCATGGATTCATTGATCTGACTCCCTGAGTTCTCATCTGAAGAGCTGTTGTCCTCATCTGACTCCACTATCTCAATCTTGGTCTTTTCATTTGTCACCTTTTCCTTCAAAGGAGAAGCAACAGCGTTTAAAAGGCCATTACTTCTTAAGCTGTGTTTGTCTGAAGATTTGTAACTCTCTGAACTTTGAACAGTTTTCTCTCCACCATAGTCAGTATTTAAGGACGTCTCGGGAGACCTGGAAATAAGACATTACTAGTGATATTCAGGGATCAATAGGTGGATCATTGTTTCTCCAGTGTCAAGTTCTCAAGTCTTTCCACCACATTCTTGATATGCTAATGTTTCTTCCCAGTTTAACAGTGGATCGATGAGAAGTTTCCACTTCAACAAGACACTAGTTTGTTGAGAGGTATTTAACCAACACGGTGTGTTATTCTGGTTATTGACACAGGAAATAGTGCTGCACATTTTAAATGACACTTTGTTTACAGAAAAGCCGAGGCAGGGTTTTCACTTGAAATTTGCTGTTGGTGTGAAAGCTCTGCTCACTTTCTGTTCAGCTCTCTATGTTGACTATGCATAAGATGAATTTATCTTTAGCTTAATATTTGTATTTATTTTATCCATGTTTTTGATCCATGTTGCCTAACGTGACAACAGTGTCAGTTTGAAGACTTTTTGTTTATTACAGAAACAATTGTTTCTTTTTGATCTTTTTGAGCATTTTCCTTCTTGGTGTCCTCACTGTGGTTTTGGTTGAGCTCAAAAACTTGTTGAACATCACTGAACTTTGGCATTCCAGTTCATTGCATTTATTGAAACCCAACCTAAAGAAGTTTTGATACTTGGTGAGTACAATTTACCTCTCTGAGCTGCATCTTTCACTGTCTGATGAGACACGCTGTGTTTTCTTCTTCTTCTCACTCCCTGCTGTGTTGCCCTGACAGGAAGTCCTGCTGCTCTCAGTGCTCTCTGCATGACCACAGGATGAACGCACTGGGTGCAGAGGAAATGTGAAGACAAACAACTCAATTATTCATAAGAAAATGCATGGTTAAACTTGTTTGTGTGAGTAAATACACTCTTCATTTAACTTCATAATCATATGATTTGAGCTAAACATTTTTACCTGGACTAATGCGTGTCTCCTGTAGCAACTCACTCCTGCTTCCACCATCACTCTCTCTCAGAGAACTTGGTCTTCTGTTTGTCTCCACCTCCCTCTGATCAAGAGACTCTCTCATGTGTGTTCCATCTTGTTTTGTGCAGGGAGAACAATGACCAAGCACGGTGTCAAAGTGGTGGAGATGTGGAACGGTGGAGGGCGATAGCATGTGACATGGAGGAACATGTGAGGAACCCTCCAAGTGGTGGAGAACCCTGACAGGGAGTTGATATGTCTTGGATTGAGGCTGAATGAGCCAGGAGGAAGCCAAGTGGGAAAAATCCTGGTCATAGTCTAAGTTGGAGCCTGAGTCATTGATCTCTTGAGGTGGAGTAACTTTCTGTCGCTTTTTGGTCAATCCTGAAAGAGGAATTTTTATTTTTTTTAGTAAAGTTTAGCTAGTATAGTTTTTTTTAGTAAATAACAGTTAATCCCCTAAAGTAATTTGCTAAAATTGTGCATTTCTTAGAAGTATATTTGATCATTTTAATTTATATTTAATTTGATGTGATTCATGAGGGAGTATCAAAAGTCAAACCTTGTGAATATAATTGTTGATCAGCAGAAGTCTTGTTCATTTCTTCTGTCTTCTTCAAATGGGAACTAAAATAGTCATCCATCTTCTGTGAATTGATTTTTGTACATTTCTGTGTTATTGTTTATAATGATACGCATGAAAGCATTTATTCAACAAATGCTTAATAGTTTAATTTGACAACAGTCCATACCTTTTTATGGACAGCCTCTGATTTCTTCTGAAGTTGCTCCTGCCAGTAGGGGGCTTTCTTCTCAAGGTATCGCTCGTATTCCACCTACACAAGTCACAGTAATGTTAACCGAAGCTGTCTGAATGAAATCTAATATTTACTCCGTATTTATTCTGTGTATGCACCCGTAGAGTCTTCATGGTATCATTGGAGGCCATCATTTCTCTCAGAATATCCTGGGCTTGGTCAAACTGCTGCAGAAGCTCACTGTTAAATGTCCGTGCTGAGCGCTCTCTTTCTCGTAAATGCTGCAAGCGCTGTTGCAGATGCATTGCTGTGCTGCACATAAAAAAATAGTTTAAATAACACCAAAAAAATGATGTGAATCAGCCGTAGTCTCTTGAACTATAAGTAACTATACATGTATATACCATAAAACAGGCTCCACAGTAAAGTTTCTTTATAGCATCACAAAGTTTATTTTTTTTCCTCATTTTTTTACCAACCTTACCTATTTTTAGGACCAGGCTCTCTTGGACTGATAAAAGTGTTTCTTTTAAAATCGGATAAATGTTCAAGGGACAGTAAATTCTCCTTCCACGCAGCCATGGTTGTAGACCTTTAGCCAACACAGATTATCAGGGATTAGAGTCTGGGATTTAAAGAGGGTAGGACCACAGTCCCACTGTCACTCCAAACAAGGGCAAACGCAAGTTTGAACCTTTCATTTAAAATGTTTAATTTTCATTGTTTGGGACTTACTCTATTATTTAAGAGAAATACACAGATTCCTTTAAATTGTATGTAATTATGATACTGTTTACTTTAGATAGGGAAAAACATGTTATTATAGTTGTTTGACTAAAATACCAAATTATTTATCTTGTAAAATCTTTTTTATTTAATAAAAAATATATAAATTGGTCTAAATCTTTACCTTCATTGAAAAATTGTAAAATTAGAGTACTAATTCAAACGTTTTCTGAAGTTATTTCCCCTCTTTTTAAATTGAAGTTGCCATTCTGGCAACCACAAATTGTATATTAAAGTCAGAATTTTTGTTAGAAATATTTATAGAGGATATGTTTTTATATGTTTGTTTTGATTTTTTTCTTCACTAGAATATAATAATGTGCAATTCTAAGATCGTAGAACATCGTAGATATCCTATCCTTTGTTTACCTAAGAAATTATTAAAAGCCTGGTTTCATTTGACCAGATCAAAGTCGGTCATTATGGCAAACCATAATGAATTAAAAAATCAACTCTTGATTTTATTTTGGTTTCAGCGGAACTAAGGTCTGTCTCCTCTGTGTTATTACGGATATATTTAAGTAACGCAAGAAAGCTGTGGCTTTATTTGTGCATTGGCAGTTAAGTGGTTTCAAATCTAGTTTTATTTTCCAGTTTACTCTGGTATACTGTAACACTTTTAATGTTATTAGTTTAATATTAATGTCACTAAGCGGGGAACAACGTGTTCTGGTGAATACATATTTAGAGGTGTTACGGTAAAATCAGTCCGTCCCCGGAACACACTGCGTTCAAAGCCGTGGTTCAGTCACGGAAGAACGGACTGTAAACATGACGAGTTTCGCCACTAAAGTCTTTTGCAGGGTGGAGAGGTTGTGCCAGCACCTGCCTGTGGCTCTCAACACTTTTCTGGTATTCTCAATCACCGGGGAGGTGAGCTACCTGGTACTGGTCGAGGCTCCTCTGGAGCCGGACCAGAAGAAGACGCAGTGGTCTGCCTGGTGGAAGGTGCTTCACTTCCTGGCCCAGTACTTCATGCTGGGAAACATCTGCTGGAACGCCCTTCTCTTCCTCAAAACCAGTCCTAGTATCAAGGGGGTTTTCCTGGGAGGAGATGGCTTAGGCCAAGGCTGGAGGTAAGCAATAAAATTCATTTTTTTAAACATTTTAAACATTTTTTAAAACGTGTATAACCTTTTCGGTTAATTAGTAAAATTATATGCTGTAAAAAAGTTTTGTAAATTGCCTCAATGTCGCAGGGAGAGAAAAAAGGCATTTTGCTGGAACATTCTTTACAGAACTTCCTATGATTTACCCTAAGTGTCACACCAGGTACAACCTTTATTAATGGACTAAATAGTCAGAAATTCATCCCATTGAAGCTGGACTTCTATAGTAAGTCAGAACAGAAAAAAGTCTCATTGAGGACAGGCCACTTAAAAACTTTGAAGAGTATAATTAATCTGGATGAACCAGAAACCTCAGTGAAGTCCGCCCTCCCGCTGAAACACACTCACAGGCCGCCTCTGCCAGCTGTTAAAACACAAAGGAGTCAAACAGACAAATGACAAACCAAGGATTCTATCAATTGCTAAGGTATTTGTGCCACAATAGCATTTTCTTATTTTCTCCAAACAGGTACTGTTACACATGTGAGACACACACGCCTCCTCGCTGCTCACACTGCTATGATTGCAAAGTGTGCGTGCTGCGGAGGGATCACCACTGTGTCTTCTTTGGCCAGTGCGTGGGCTTCCGTAACTACCGCTTCTTCTTGAGTTGTTTGCTGTTCATGTGGTCTGGGCTTCTGTATGCCACACTGATGAACGCTGAGGTTTTCATTGTCATCCTGAAGGAGGGAGTCACTGTGCACAGCATCCTGCTCCTGCTCATACCCTGGATCATGCTTGTATCAGGTAATACAATGAACCTACTGCTGTGACATTTTGCATGTATTTTGCATTGTTGTGCTTGTAGGTGTACTGTCCTACAATTCAGATACATTTGCTGTCACATTCATTGTATCCATTTGTGCTGTGTCACAATGACAAACAATTCACTTTCTGCTTCTTCTTCATTTGGTGTTTAAATAGTCTGGAAAACCAAGTTCCTTTCTTATGGAGATATTTCAAGTCCAAAGTAAAGATGTGTAGTGCACTTATCTAGGCCAGAGCATTTGAACCACATGTAAAGCTCCCCTGAAGAGAAGTCACTGGAAGTCATTCCCACCTTATATAGCAATTTTAGCTCTAAATGCTTGCAGTTTTCATCTACAAGAGAAGCCATTTCACAGCATTGTGAAATAAAATATTACGATATTTCAGTGTATAATTATTCTCTTACACCTTGTTTTGACACTCAGCGGGGACACTGAGTCTTTCTTTTTGTTTATCTCTAATGAGCTGGATCACTTCATTGTACCTGGTGTATGTTTTCTCTGTCTTAGGTCAGGTCTCTGCTCGGGCCTTTGCCTTTGCCTTCATTGCTGACACTTGTGTGGTGGGCTTCCTGCTGGTGTCTGCATTCTTCTTCTTTCATCTCTTCCTGTTGATTCGGGGACAGACCACCAGGGAGTGGTACTCCTCCCGCCAACCCTACAGCCTGGGGCTTCTGGGCAACCTGCGTCACACCCTGGGTTGTCGGTGGTACATCTGTTGGCTCTGCCCTCTCATCCCATCACCTCTGCCTGGAGATGGGATTCATTTCCAGGTCACAGGATCACTAGAACCCACGCGGTAACAGATTACAGGTTTCTAAATAATGACAGGCCATGTGTCCTTTGAGGTAATGGTAATGTTGTTGAAATGCCTTGAATTGGTGAAATAGCCTTGAATGGAAGGAAACTAGACTATGGTAATGTGTGCTTTGTAAAGTCCTAGCTGTATTTGCTGCCTACCAGTATGCTGTACTGTTTCCCTGAGGATTTATGAATTTCTTGGATTGAAGGGTACATTAATTTTGACCCCTTGGTATTCTGTCTTGTTGGTTGAGGCTGGCCTCAAGTTCCTTTCAAATAGTGTGCACTAACATCAGCACTAAATGGTAGTACACCACACTGAAACAACAGGAATGTATTTTACTAATGAAGACAAAAGTGAAAGTTTACATCATGGTTTAATTTTAACAATCATAACATTGTCATCTTTTCCAGATGAGCTGTTTGTCAAACATGAACGTTTGAGAAACATTACTTGCACTCTACAGGATTACATAATGCATAAGTGATGTCTCCAAAATGCTTGTGCCCATTTCCACTTAACTAGCTTATGGCGATGATGATATTGCATTTACATCTACAGTATAAATTTAAAAAAGTCTTTTTTTTATTGCTCCATGTCAGACACGTACAAGAAATACAGTATTTAAAATAGATGCTTGCAGTCATCTGAAAAGAACTTACTCCATGTCTTAAACTAAACTTAATGTGTATTCAGTTTGTATTCCATAGAGCATAGATTCCATACTGTGTAATATAATGCTATCCACCAAGAGAATCATCTCCCATTGCCACTCCTGGTTCCTACTATGTGCCTATTATATTTTTAGGTTAGCGCCAGCAATATTGACCTATCAGTCATTGATCCTAAGGGAGTTTAAATAAGGCCTAATAATGAATGGGAGTCACTTTCAGTTAATTCAGATCATTTCTTTGTTAAAAATCTAAATACTACAATCAAAATTGTGTTTCTTATAAATATTATGTTGGTGTTGTTAAATTCTCTTGTTTTCTTGGGTTTTTACCTGTTAATTCAAGAGTCACAAGTACTTGTTTTTTTTATAACAAATGATGCATGAAAACGTTGAAACATTTTTATTATATTGTATATTTCCCAATTATTAATGAAAATTGTGAGAGAATGTATTAAATATGTGTTTGATAACTGTTTTCTGTGTGAATTGTGTGTTTATTACCTTTAAAAATATTTTATTATATACTCTTAGTATTTATAATGGTCATATTAAAATTGCTATATATATATATTACCATTGTACTAAATTGGTACCAAAGCAATGACCCTAGCCCAAAATTAGCTGCCAAACATGCCTTTGCCTATAGTTGTTAATAACTATAGTAAAACTGTTTTCTAAACAATTGAATAAGTGTAATCATATATGTCACACCGGAAGCTGTCGGGTATTTTACATTATTAAATTCTTATAAATATCCAGGCTACATCTATTTTCATAATAACATATAATTATAAATGTTATTTGTTCTGTTGCACCACATTCACAATAATATCTACTTGTCTTTGCTGTTGCAGACTCCAGACCTCCAGTGCTAAGGAACTCAGGTTATAGCAGCTAACGGCTCAGCTGCAGGTAGGAGTTTTTCTTTCTTTATTTTTGTGTGTTCTCCTATTGCAGGACATAGTAGCAGACTTTCTGTAACTCCCCAAGAAAGAAAAGTTATAATTTAAACTTCTAATTCCAGAATTTATAGGCAAATGATCTAAGAGCTGTTACTGGTAGCATTAGCATTTAGCTTCATGTAAACATGATAAAGTGGTGTCCAAGACAACAGGACTAAACTATAAATAACCTTTTTTTTCTCTTGATGTTTATATTCTACAATATTAAGGCATTTAATAATGTTTCATGTTAAAGATGGAAGGTTTTAAACAATTAACAGATGTGTTAAACAACACATTAAATGAACTCAAGTAATTTTTATCTGTTTTTAATCAAGTCAGTTACAACAGTTACAACCTGTATTATGTAAGACTCTTAAAATCCTATATTAAAAAATAAATTAATTCACACTTCATTATGGGGCATGTTGTCACCCACTCTAAAAAGAGCTTTATTTTATTTTTGTAGAATGTTAGACCAAAAGAAATATGTTGAAAATGTATTGCTGTTTTTGTTTCTGTGAGAAATATTAATAAATAAATTAATAATTTTTACGTTTCCACATGTAGCTAATGATATTTCTTTTACCAGAGAAACATTTCTAGAACTGCTGAAACACAACTGCCACAAGTTATTATTCTGTGAAAAGACCAAAAGTGTGTGTTAAACAACTACCGAACTAGTCCCCAATCAGTGCTAATGCTGTCCTACTGCCAACACCATCATCATTATAAAAATCAAATATTCTTATCAGACTGCAGCTGAGGATAGGTTTGTGAGATAACTTTAAGATCAAAGACAAAAAAACATAAAAGGTGAGTTTTTTTTTCTTAGTGATTTTAACAACCACACATTTTCGAGTTGTCTGAATGGTGATAACATGTATTCCCACCATGGTATGACGCACTGTTTATACCTGTATACAGGTTTTACTTATTTTTGGTATAAATGTTGTGTCATTCACTCACTATCCCACACACACTGATGGGACTTCTGGTTGTGAATCACAAGCAGGAGAAGGGAGTAGAAAATCACCAAGATGGATTTCACAAAGGACAATATGTAAGTTCATAAACAAACACACACAACAACAACTGGATATGTCCTGTGTTTAGAAAAAAAATTAAATGTTTCTTTCTTCTGTGTTTGTGATGTGTATAAATAGGACACGTAAGGACATGCTGGAGAAAATTGCTGAGCTGGATTATAGTCAAAACCAGCTGAGGGACATGAACTCTGCAATGAGAAACTGGTTGGATGCTGCAGAAGATGACATAGCAGTACTGCGCTCAGAGAACGCTGCCCTTAGAAAACAAGTGAAAATGTAATGAACTGTAAAATATTATTCACACAATTACAAAAAAGTCCATTTTTTTCTTACAGCTCAACTTTTTGGAGAACCACAAGACACTGTTCTAGGCTCCCATTGAAACACATAAATTGATTTCATAATGGTACAACACTATGTAACCGTTTATCTACACTTAGTTTGCTAGTTCCGGTTTTCACAAGAATATAACACATTAAAGGAAATGAAAATGGAAAAACACATGCTAGGCACTTAATGTTTAAAAAGAAATTTGACATTTTTTTTCTTTTTGTGCTAATTAGAAGATTTTTTTTCCCACTTGTAAGTTTTTGCTGTTTACTGTATGTCTGCAGCCTGGAAAAGCTGCCCAGTGAAGCACATCAGGATGAGGTAGACTCCAGTCCATTCCTTCTAACAGATAACCAAGATTTCAATAGATGTAGTGAAAAAAAGATTCAAGAATTGGTATGTATCCATGTTTTGTACTTATTTATAATAATAATAATTGTTATTATTATTGGTTTGCATAATCAATTACATGTTTAACATCTTAATGTATTGTGCATAGACATATAGAATGTTCTTCTTTTTAGTTCTTCTTTGACTTTGTGTTTTTGTTCAGGAAGAAGAATCATCCATACTAAAAGAACAAAACAAGAAACTAACTTCAGAGGTAGGATATCTGTCTGCCAACTTCCCATATTGTTTTTCAATTAATGAAGATGATTTAAAATTTTAACAACCTGGCAAAAAACAAATGTTCCACCTTAGTAGACTAAATTTAGCCAGTACTTCCATCAGGTCAGCACAAACAGAAAATGATCTCAGAGTTAAAGCTTTTGTTCTGTATTTTCTCTACATTTCCTCCAGGATGACTTTGATGACATTTGTAAAATAGATGATAAGCGTGTACCTGTACCAAAGCATGTTTAAAGTGATGCACTGGTAACTATATTGTCTGACACCCTACATCAATTAATTACACTTGTCCCTCTCCCAAACTGTCCTTAGTTAAAAAACATCGAGCAGGAGAGGGAGCAGGACAAGATCAGCCTTGGCAAATTACAAGTTGCACAGAAAACTCTGGAGGTAACACAAAAACTTCCACAAAGACACATTTAGCAGCTGTGCTTTCTCTGTTCCATTTGCCACATTGTAGAGCAACTTCTAATCACTCACATCCTTTGGTTCTTCAGTTTGAAATGGAGGCGGCTCAGATGGAGTTGCAGGTCAGGGGTGAAGTAATTCACCAGGTATGAACACAACATTAGGTCTATAAAACCTGTATATAATAAATGTACATAGTTCATAGAACCCAGCTATTTAATGGCTCTATTTTTATTTTATTTTTTCCAACTGAATAAACATAAACAAAAAAGTAAAACTTGTTTTTAATCTATTTCTGTTTTTCTCTCTCACTCTGTGGTGGTGACAGAATGCCTTACAACTGAAGCATTTGAAGGAAACAATAGAAGAGTGTGCAAACCTCATCAAGGTAATAACTTACTTTTAAGCCTGCCTTGATCATTTTTCAAACTTACCGTTTTTTAACTGCAGATTAAAACAATAAATTGATTTTCTGCTCCAGGATCTCAGGCAGACAAATCAGGAGCTGAAGGAACGGTTGGAGGAGAGACAGGATGAAGCCTTACTGTAAACCCCACACAGAAAACTCTCTTTATAAATTATTTTCATTTATAGGAATATATAGGATGTATAGGAATCAACGCCAAGCTATCTGTGTCCATTTAGTCTTGATGGTGTGTCTACTGTTTGATTGCAGCTCTGCTGTAAATGAGTTGACAGAAGAGAGTGAACGGTCTGCAAGTCCCCCACTGTCCTTTTTGGATGAAATGAAGTTGTTCGCCTCTACAGATGAATTCAAAACCAGCATGTCCAACTCTGAACATTTCAAACACGTGAGTACTGATACTAACCTCAGCATCAGGAGGAAACTCTGTCGTAAAGGCACAAACTGTGCGGTAATGATTTCTGATGCTGTGTTTGCAGGAAGAAGCCAAGTCACTGGAAGTGCCAAAAACTCACAGCATCAGAGTTGACCCTCCAACTGGAAGGTATTTGACTTTTGTGTATGTAGCCTATTCTGTTATTTTCTATATGTTATGTAAATCACAGTCTGTCGTTTCTCTGTTTTCTTACTTTGTCTAAGGCAAACAGGAACTCTTAGGAAAGCTATGCAGACAGCTGGACTAGTATTGATTTTCATCTACATACTCCTTGTCTCGGCCTTTGTGGTCACAGGGATAATCTCAGGAAAGTGCCATTTGTTTTTAATCCACAACTTCTGGACTGGAACACATTTGATGTTACAGCCTTACTGTAATGTATATTATAGTGACTTGCCTCCTATTTGACCATAAGAGTTTACTCTTTATCAAGTCAAACAATCTCTTTTTCTGTTCTTTTTGTTACTAACTGGTGTTAAATTGCAAATATTTACAAATATACTATACCCTCATAAATATTTTTTTAAAATACTTAAAAAAAATTCAAACATATTAAATTGTTCAAATTAAAAACAGGGGGAAAGTTGGCTTTTGCTGTTAATATGACTTACAATAACATTGTGTTAGACATATTCATCAAATGTACTGTTTTTGGTCATGGTTGCAAGTTTTATTTTGGAAAAGCAACTGGTCTCCATGGAGCTCAGTGTGAATTTAGTGGCTGTTTTTCTTCACCTCATGCATTCTGAAATTATCCCTTAGTTTAGATAAACAAAGACCATTGAGCTACCACTTCTTGTCTAGAGGAGTCTGCTATAAAAATAATTTTAATGTGTGCACGTACAACTTTATTAGCCAGCAATTAATCACATCAAAACAAGCCATGTTAGGGCTGCACTCACTGGTAATTATTGTGATTAGCTGTCTGTCTGTCTATATAGTTACATTAGTATTACGTTCAGTTTCCTATTTGGTAAAACTTAACACTCAGTGAAGTACTGACCTCCGTAATTAAGGCAATGGAAAGCAGCAAAACAGAAAATACATGTAGAGGGCAGGGTCACTGCAGCTAAATTCATTGCAGTAAACGTATATTTTGCATACTGTGTATTTTTATTCTAGTCACTTGTTAATGTGTATGTAATTTTAAAATGTAAAGGTTAATTATAAAATCCCCATTATTTAAAATAAGTCAGTCTGTCTGTCTATTTCTTTATATGGTTAATTTTGATCGTGTTTGCAGTTAGTGAAATTACTATATAGCATTTAAGGGAAGTCATGAAAACGACAGTTTCCCAGTCATTTTTAAAGTTTTGTTAAATATTCAATCATTCTGGGTGGTGGAGACATTCCCATAGTCAAACGAAGTATACAGAAGCCAAGCAGAAACAGTGCGTCATCAGTGGGCTCTTCTTTTGGCATAATTGTGTAAAAGACTGACTTCACCGCCTCCTAAACTTCTTCCATTCGCCCCACCCAGCTGATGGCGCTCCCTGGTGGTCTTGTCTGTAAATCTGGAAAACACCCCCTTTCTCCCAGACGGCAAACAAAAATTATAAGGCGGCGATCGGGTTTTAGAGAGGGGCAGGACAGCCTCAGTCAATGGGTTATTTTCGGCTGTAGTTAATAATCACTGTGTGGTCCAAACGGTGTCTGCTGGAGCTGCTGCCGGTGGAGGCGGATGCTGATGCTGCGTTGCTTGGTTGCACGGACTGACTGAGATGCTGAGCACGGGCCGAGCCTGTGTCACATCCCCCTGTGTCGTAGATGGAGACTAAAGCCTGAAGAGCCCGCAGGATAGAAACCAGCCGACGAAAGCAACAGTTTTTCACTGTTAAACTGCAGGACCGCAGGAAGAAAAGGAGGGGGAGGAGGAGGAGGAGCAGTGGCAACGACATGTTCTGAGCAGAGAACCGGCGAGCGGCGGCGGCTGGAGGAATGAAGGCTGTGAGGAGACCGAGTAAGACGCGGCTTCTCCCGCGGTTCTGCGTGTGTGGAGTCGGTCTGCTCGCAACAGCGTGGCTCTTACACTTGAACGATATTACAGGTACTTCCCAAGTTTGACGAATACACTGAACTATAATGGAATGAATGGTCTCTTACTTTATTTATTTATTGTTTTTGTATATATTCACGTTACTCGAGTTGAATGTTGTCGTGCATTTGTTTGATAATCACGTTTTTCTCAAAAGTGTTTCACTTAAATCTTTGTTATGATACAGTGTGTATTTATACACCACCCACTCTGTGCAGGCTCCCGTGGACTTGATGTTGACCATGATCTCTTGCATAAGAGAGAGCTCACCCAGCAAAAAGAAACCAACAACCAGAACGACAGTATTTCTAGAGCTGGTAAGATCCATGATATCACCTCTACTCTTTGTTTTCCATTGAAATATTTATATAAACTGTTTAAAAGTGTCCTCTAAATCAGAAGAAACTGTTTTCCGGAGACGATGTGGATTCAAGATTCAGAATGCAGCATTGTAGTATGGTTTCATGTTTTGAAACAGAGCATGTAGTTGTCCTCCCTATCCTGCAGGGGGTGCTGTGGACACAACTGAAGTGCCGTGGTCAACAATTTGAGTTTGTTTCGCACACAGACATACGAACTCTGTTTTTTTTTTTTCTCGAGTTTTAAGTTTCAGCCTAATCCTGCATGCTTTTGGTCTGTGTGAAGTTGGAGTAGTTAAAGAAAATCAACAAATGTGGAGAACATGCCAACTCCACTAGAGACCACTAGTTACCACCGGGGATCATTTATTTAATTATTTACATCCAGACATTATTAGTTACAAAGTTGAATATCAGGTGTCTTTATCAGCCATTATCATTAACAGTCTCCTCTAATGCTCAGTTTTACCAAACATTCTCACTGCAGCGTCTTCTGTTTGGGTTTCGATGGCATCATTATGTTGCCAAGGGAGATAACGATGAGAGAAATGGAAAGATAACAGACAGATCATATAATCAGGCACTAAAATGCTGTACTTGATTGTTAAAGAAAGGACTTGATTAATTTGTTATTATATAGCGTGTTTATAAATATTTAAAAAATGTTTCTTTTTTTATTCAAACGTTGTGGTGACACCCCCACACCTCCACACTCCCTCCAAAGAAATGATTGGAACTTACTTTTGTTTGAGAACCCTGTTTGATATGATGAGTTTTTCTTAGAAAGGTTTTGCAAATTTTTGATGTTAGCATAGTTAGAATAGGTAATGTATTAACGGTAGCATTATGGTCTGACTAGACAGGTGAATGTCCAGTAGGGTAACATAAATAGTTGTACAATCGTGTGAGAGTGTACGTGTGTGTGAGCAGAGGCAGCATAATGCGTGCATGTGTGTGAGAGAGAGTGTTGTCTCTATTAATCTGTTGAACTCCACTCCATCTCCACTGTGCATTGATCTACCTTTGCCACGTGCCTCATCCCTCATTTCTTCAAACTGCACCTCGAGATGTTTAAACACAGTTGAGCTTTTGAGGGACACAGTTGCTAGGAAACTGAACGGTGAATTTGTGGTTGTACGTTGTGTGCATCTGGAGCTGTTTAAAGTGGCTGCCCTGTTGAAATAACCTGCTGATTAGCGGCCTCTCATCAGTAGCTGTCTCACTGCCTGTGTGTCTGCACCCATTTGGCTAAAAGTGTAAAACAGTGATGACATCGTTATTGTCTGAAGATTGAGGTTTATGTGTGTTATGTACGTATGTCTCCCTTTCCTCCTGTCTGTGGCTTAATCAGTGTCATCACACTCACCTGTGTCTCGGTCATTAGTCTCACTCTCTGTGTCACCTGGTGTCCTAGGTGTATCTCCCTCACTCTGTCTTGTTGGGATCAGAGTGTGTGTTTGGTGACCATGGTAGCAGTGTTCTGTTTAAGCTATGTGCCATGTTCATGCCCTGATGTTAATGCCTGAAGTTATGCTCTTCGTTCCTTGTTCTTGCAACCCAGTAGCCTTTCAAATAGCCTTTATCTCCTCTTAGCTAACGTGTGATCATTTTAAACACATTGTCAGATGGTTAGGAGGTGACTTGACTCTTCTGAGATATCAATAAGGCTTCCTTTGCTGTACATATTTATGCAGCTGGAACTGTTTGCAAATGTGAGATTTACACACTGGTGTGAAACAGATGTTCAAAGTTCATATTTAAACAAACCATGTAATTTCCTTGTGAAAATCTATAATTTCACTTTTATTCAAATTGTGTGGACGTCTTCCTGAAGTTAAAAGACCACAGGTCTTTATAAAATAGACAGTGCAACGTAGATGTAATAGTTTATGTTAACTACAGACAATGGAGACTTTGCATTGGAACCCCAATGACCAATCACTGACTTGTGAATTTTCCCACTGTGGGACAACGGAAGGACTTAAATGAAATGAAATTAATAAACATCATATTTGACCCTGAGTTGAATAGACAACCAATCTGGAGTCAGATGTGATAGCATCGCACCACAGAATCTAAAGGAAAACAAAAAAATTCATATTTTTTACATGTTTAAACATTTTTTAAATTAAATTAAAAATATTTACAAGACATGTAGCGGAGAGTCCCTGTGCAGTCATCAATCAGCTTACAGATAAGAAATCTTAACTACTACTGAACTGCACAGAATTTTCCCAGGCTTCTATGGCTGGATGATATTACAATAAATGTAAAATGAATGTTATGGAACTAAATTAGTTATTAATTCAATATAGATTATTTTTGTTGAGAGCAAAACAAAGTTCTAAAAATGATTTAAAAAACTCTTAACAACTATCAATGTTTTCTGTCTGTCCCTTCTCTAGCTATTAATGAGTTCCCTGAAGATATTTTTACTCCAGAGCAGAGAAGACAAGGAGCAGTTCTTCTGCATGTTCTGTGTGTGAGTATCAACATCACAGCCAGGCGGCGGGATTTCAAATTCAAGCTTCTGTATCTAACCTCTCCTGTGCTTTACAGGCAATCTATATGTTTCATGCCCTGGCCATAGTGTGTGACGTTTACTTTGTTCCTTCATTGGAGAAAATATCTGAGGTAAATTTGTCTTTTTACTTCCGCTTTCTCCATGGAAGCTATCAGACTTGTTCTCAAATCTGTTCCCTCTCCTGCGTCTGTAGAACCTTCAGCTCAGTCAGGATGTTGCCGGAGCAACCTTCATGGCAGCTGGAAGCTCCGCCCCCGAGCTCTTCACTTCTCTGATTGGTCGGTGGTGAACTTCTCTAATCTATCTCATACTCTTAAGGTCCAGGCCGTTACTTGCAAACATACACATCTTTATGTGATTAGGACTGAGGGAGGAAAGCTTCAGAAAGTCAGATTGACCTCCTTTGGTGTCAAGTAGTAATGGATAAAAAGGACAAGGCGAGCGTGTTATGTTTAGCTTCTTTTTTTTCCAAGCTTTAGTCCAAAAAATATATTTATATATTTTTTAAATCAGTGATGATCAGTGAATAAGAGACACAGTCAGATCTTTTATTCTCAACATACAAAAAGCACAACAACGTTGTATGCAATCTCATTCAGTGTAAAGTCATCAAAACTTTATCCTAACAATGTTTTTTACCAGATGTAAAGGATACTTACTAACAAATGGGCCAGATGTAAAAAAACGAATCTACATTAAGCATTAATAAAATGACAATAGCAGCCATAGAAACATACATTTAGCAGCAGTAAGCATCAATTTGTATCGCAAGGAAATCATTTATCCTGCATTTACTGTGAGATCATAGTAATATATATATATATATATATATATATTTTACAGGGGTGTTTATCACAAAAGGAGACGTAGGTGTAGGAACTATTGTGGGATCTGCTGTCTTCAACGTCCTCGTCATCATCGGCATCTGCGGCATCTTCTCCAAACAGGTACCAACCCTGTGATCTGAGCAGGAAATGGAAGTTCAGACTCATCCAGGATGTAATGCTGAGCATTAGACAGATACTCTCACTTGTGTTTGCTCTCCCCAGCCCATCTGTCTGAGCTGGTGGCCGTTGTTTCGTGATGCGGTTTTCTACATCTTATCCATACTGGTGCTAATTCTGGTGAGAAATCATGATCCAAGCGTGATAACTGGCTCCACGCTTTTGGAAATAACGCGTGTTGTAACATTTTGTTTTCAGGTGATCTACGATGAGAAGGTTTTGTGGTAAGAATGCAATAATTTCTTTCTACATTTTAGTGAGTAGATACTACAGTCCAGGACCCAGACTATGTAGTAGTTAACTGACTTAAACCCCTTGTGATTCTACTACTACTTACCACAAAAGTACCAACCACTCAGACAGAAATAATCATGGGCATCCTTCCATTGCTTAAGATAAAATATTTGTAAGTAAGAGGCAGCCTCCCATCAGTCAATGGATGAGGTAGAACACAGGCAGTTTGCCAATCCAGTGTGGGGGACAGTGGCAAACCGTACTGCAGTGCAGTGACTACATAGAACGGATCCTGATGGGATTTAAACACGCAACCTTCTGATGTGGACTGTAATTTTTTCTACATAAGTACTACTCATAAGAACAAGGACCCTAACTGCAGGGCCACATACTGAAGCAAGCGACCATCCACACTCTCATTCCCACTCTTATTTGTGTCTTAGGTGGGAGACCATCATACTGATCTCCATGTATGGAATTTATATCATCATCATGAAGTGAGTCTCCTCTTCTTCACTTCCCTGATCTGTTTGTGTCAGACCAACTGCACTTCACGCCCTTTACTCTCCATGTGTATAGGTTTAACAGGTCTCTGTGCAGCCTGGTGGAGACCCACTGCAGCAGAGAAGGTCAGCCGTGTCTCAGCAGCCTGCGGCGGACAACTGCGGTTGGAAACATCGTAGACTGTGATAACGACATGGTGCCGCTGAAGCCAGGTACTGGGGTTTGTGCTGCACGTCTGCTCAGAAAATATGTTGATCTGTCGTAGTAGCCTCGGCCTCTGTGATGCATCAACAAGACCCAGTGGCCTAGATTCAGCTGTCAGTCAAACTCATGTCTGTTCCCAGTTGATTCTCAACAGACTGATATAGAACTGGATCAGAGAAAAGGAAGAGGATTTATCCCCATTGTCTCATTTATGGTATCTCTTCTTCTTCTTCTTTTGTCTCCCCTCATCTCCGTCTTCACCGTCGTCTCTTCCCCCCGTCATTTTCTCCAGACTCATGTGTGGTGGCTGGTCAGGACTCAGGGGTGACGATGGTGGATGAGCTGATGAAGCAGCATCCTCACCAGCTCTCCTTCTCAGAGGCAAGCCTCCGCCTTCTCATCACCCCGCATTTCCCCCCCCTCACCCGCTTGCGCATGGCAGGACGCATGGTCATCAATGAGGTACCCTTTCAGAAGTCATAAACATCACATCATAGCCTTAATTGTTGAAGACATTACAAGTACAAGTATGTTAAAAAGCTGTCGATAAATCACCAATTTTGAATGCTTGAATCAGTAGCAGTTTGTGTTTAACTGTCATCCTTCATGATGAAACAAAGCACATTTCTTGGTAAATATAGTTTAAACTTGAGCAGAGACCTCATTACTCAGTCTGAGATGAGCTGTTGGAAGAGGAGAACTGGATCTGTGGAGACAAACTGGAGACATTCTGACCAAACCAGCAGAACTCTGAAGCTCTTTAACAAATGTATCGTGGGCTCACGGAGACCACAGTCGCTCACTGGGTTTTGACTAATGCATATCATTATCCCAGGCTCAGACACAAACAGGAAATCAATCTTTGATTCTGCCTCCTCACTCTGTCGCCTCTGCTGCATGTGTGCTTGTCAGCCCTGCTGCCAAATTAAAGTGTGACTGCAGCCGCTACTGCCTCTGCTCTGTGGCACGTCTCTGATCAATGCTTCCCCAAATTCACTGCACTCAATGTTAAGACATGCCTGGCTTCCAAATCTTTCTGCCTGCTCGTGCTGTGAGCCACAGTCAAATGAAGTGAGTTTAAACCAGCTTCTCACAGTGTCTCCTACACTTTTACTCTCTCTATTTTTTCCCCACCTCTCCCGTCTTTTCCCGGACTTTAATCTGTGTCCACAGAGGCAGAGGCTGATTCGAGCTCGGGTCAGCCCAGAGGAGGGGGCGGCCTCAGGGGAGGAAGGTTCTGGAGCCAACAGGTTATGTGGGAGGGAGAACGGGTCGCTGGCTCAGGGGGACAAGCAGATGGTGGATGGAGAGACAGAGAGGAGCAAAGAGAGTTTTGAAGGGGCCAGTGGAGGAGCACCATCTAAGGAAGAAGAGGAAGATGAGGAGGAGCAGGAGGAAGGGGAGGGGGAGAGTACTCCTTTTAAACCATTTATCCTGCCAGGTGAGTTGGAATAAAGTAATGAATGAGTAGGAATTCACTCTGCATCGTGTTTTTCAGAATAAAGGATGAGTTGGGATGAAGATCCAGGCCAAGATGTTTGAATTATTTATAAGTTTACAGCCTATGTGACTGAAACTCACGTAGGCTGAGGGCCCCCGCTTCCACCATCAGCTCACTGAAATTAGGCTTTTGGTTATTATGAATACCACAATTTACTATAGTGCAAATGACAAGTCCACATGTTTTTATTTCATATTTAAACAATTAACTAAAAAAGTTTAATGAAGTTAAAAATACAAAAATTGGGCACTTTCATTCTGGCTGATATTACACATAACTGCTTTAATTTATCAATTTAAAAAAATACAGAAAAAGGTATTCATTTGTTTTGGACATTCATTCAAATTTCATAAGAGAATTTTATAAATTATATTGGCATACATTTTTAATTCTTTAATTCTAAGAACTGTCGGAGCTTGTCGTCTATTTTCCAGTCTTCGTCAAACAATTTTATTATTGACTTTGAGTTGCACGCAGGATGCATGGTGGTTTGTGGGCCAGATGTGGCCCCCGCCACCCACTTGATTATGAGACCACTGGTTCAGATGAATCAGTAATGATGCATGTGAGTAAAGTGTGTGCTGTTATTGTTCCCTCAGACAGTTGGTGTTCTGGTCTGAAGTGGCTGCTCTCATGGCCAATCAGTGTCCTGCTTTACTGCACCATCCCTGACTGTAACCTGCCACGGTGGCAGCGCTGGTACCTGTTCACCTTCCTCTCCTCCACCCTATGGATCGCTCTCTTCTCCTACCTCATGGTCTGGATGGTACGACACACACAGAAATGGACATAGCTAAGTATTTTAAGGCAAATGAGTGAATTTTTACTCATTTCTGAAAATAAAAGTTTCTCAGATTTGTTCAGGAACTTATTGAGATAGTATTTTAATGTGATCAAGAGTTGACGTACCAAAAAAGTATATTTTTTCTGCATTCTAACCACAAAAATGGACATAGCAAAGCATTTTAAGTAGTATTTTAAGTATTTTAAGGCAAATGAGTGCATTTTTAGTCATTTTTGGGAAACTTTTTTTTTTTAGCTTTTTTCAGGAACATATTGGTATAGTGTTTTACTGTTATCAAGAGTTGACGTACCAAAAAAGTATATTTTTTCTGAATTTTAACCACAAAAATGGACATAGCAAAGCATTTTAAGGCAAATGAGTGCATTTTTAGTCATTTTTGGGAAACTTTTTTTTCGAAGATTTGTTCAGGAACTTATTGGCATAGTATTTTACTGTGATCAAGAGTTGACATACCAAAAAAGTATATTTTTTCTCAATTTTAACCATAAAAATGAACATAGCTAGGTACTTTAAGGCAAATTAGTGCATTTTTAGTCATTTTTAAGAAACTTTTATTTTCAGAGATTTGTTCATGAACTTAATGGTATAGTATTGTACTGTGATCAAGAGTTGACGTACCAAAAAAGTATATATTTTTTTCTGAATTTTAACCACAAAAATGGACATAGCAAAGTATTTTAAGACAACTTTTATTTTTGTAGATGTTTTTCAGTAACTAATTGATAGAGTGTTTTAGTGTTATAAAAGGTTCGCGCACCAAATACGTTTTTTTCTCAACCTTAACCAGAGAAATGTCAAATATTTTTAGTAATTTTTGAGAAACTTCTGTTTTGGAGATGTATTATGACAAAATATTCACTTGGCAGTAGGACATTATCTTGTGTTTTAAGGCATTTCTGGGACTTTTTATATTTATGGATTTTTTCATAATTGTACATTAAGTTTGGTGATTTTTGAAATGTTCAAAAATTTTTGAAATGTAAGGCATGTTTTGGGTGATTT